GTTGGTAATAACATTAATGGCTGGTGGTGGTATAATGAAATGCTCAAGGGGGTCAATCAATTTATCGCGGTATTACATCTCTGATTAAAGCAGTTTAAAAGTGCTGCCCTTCTTTCCCTCCTCCTTAAGGTGATAGCGGCTGCCTCAGAAGTGAGCGCGAGGCCCTTGAAGTGCAGGCCGGATTAGTGGCCTCCACAAAAGGAGCATTTGGAGGGGGCATGCCTGTCTCTTTTGAAAGGCTATCACTTAAAGCCGTCAGCCATAGATCATCTGCGGCTTACACGAGGAAAAACTCAATGTTGATCGGGCCCATTATTTGACTCTTTGTGAGGGGTGCGTTTGATGGTTTAGGCCAGGGAGGGCTCCAGAGGTCTCCGAGGCTCAGTCTGTCTCACTGTCTCTCTATTGGTATGCAAAGAGGAGGTAGGGGGTCTCATTAGGGGCCGGGGGTAGTGTTGTTTGGGGGCGGGGGATGGGGGGAAGAGGGAGGAGGGAGGAGGGTAATGAATTCCTCGGGGCAGATGCACCAGCATCACACAGGATCGAAGCTGAATAATGCATTACGGCAGCAGGTGAAACACGTGAGGTCGGTTCTTTTCCGGCACAACATCCGTCTCCGGGGCGACGCGCATCGAGACGTGTCTGAAAGTACAAAAGCGCTCCAGGTGGAGCGCGTCTTTTGACAACATCATCCCATGTAACATCCACACTGAGAGATAGCTTCCTTTAGGACTACCGACAATGACTGACAAGCGGTCTGAGAATCCCCAGAGTACCGAATGATCTCCTCACTTCCGTCTCTGCGAGCCGCTGCGAGGGGTAAAATGGATTCCCTCCGGGTAGCTACTTCCTCCGTCATCTGTCACCACTTCCTGTCCGTGAAGAGCAGGTAATGACAGCACGCAGGTGCTGCAAGCCGGGTGGTATCACAGCGTAGCGTCATCAGCAGAAAGGACGCCAACTTGGTCGACAAGTTGCTTTAAACAAAACAAAAAAAATAAAAAAGGTCTGGACTTCCACTCATATGGCAGCGGTCACCATGGTGATTTTTCCTGTTCGCAAGCAGGTCAAACGCGCCGTCATCGTGTGCGAAGCTTAAAGTGATCCCTGAACCGAGCTAAAATGCCGTTACTCAGATATTTGTTCTGCTGCGCTGCACATAGAAATTGATGTTCCCTGAACCCTGGATATTGTTCTCATAAGGTCGTGGTTTGGAATTCCGCGAAGGTGACGAACGGCGGCGGATTTATTGAGCAGCTTATGAGAAAGAGTATAGTTGTGAAAATGGTACGTGTTCTGAAAATTCTTCATGTATTGTCAAAAATGACCGGCTACTTGTTTGAAACATCCGCCACGGTTGATGTGAACTCTACTTTCTGGCTTCTCAGCAGTGGGTAAAACCACTGCCATGGTTTGTTATGACAAAGGTCACGGATAACGGATGATGTGCCTACAGTTCCCTAATGTGAGAACAAAGACTTTGTCAAAATATGTCCCTACAATAGAGCGAGCCGGGGGGGATAAGTTACACCGTTTTGGGGATAGGTTTTCCAGATAGAGCGATGTGAAGACAGCCTCTGGCTGTGGATTTACTGGGACTCGTTATAGTCCGTTAATCCTTTTTATCTCTCTCTGCGGGTTCCTCTGCTGGCTCTGAGGTGACTGTCCTTCCTGTGCGCACCAATGATTCTAGGCCTTGGCATCCAAAAACCCGCTTTGTTTGCACTGCTAGATTGGAGGCGAGCGCGTGCGATTGACACGAGGAACATAAAACGACGCGCACGAATGAAACAACAAATTTGATTATTGTGGAAAGACAGTGGAAGACTTACAGCTTTGATCATTTAATGCGGAGTAACTGTTACCACGCAAATCTTAATCTGTATCTGACTTTGAATAAAAGATAAATAAAACTTAAAAAGAACAAAGCAGGAGAGTGATGCAGTGAGAGGCGTCGCCGACATCTTTCACATGCTCTCGACAGCCGAGCAGTTTGCGCTTTAACGGCTCTTGTTCTGTATAAAATAATCCATATGGCTGCTGGTCCGGAGCGGGGATCCCATGCCGTTACCGGCCCATACGTTAGGCTTTTTATGGGCCTTTGGATGGAGTGATGAAACCGAATCAGGTCACGCCAATTGATAGACATTCTCCTCAGCTATCGTTTGCACACACGATCCTTTTAAAGTGGAGTGAAGAGAGGCGCCCCCCTCCTGGCGGGCCGTATAGTGGCTTCCCCAGAAGCTGTCATCATATTGTTCCCTAAAATATTTAACTTCCTCAAGAGATTGAGCTGTAATATAAGAAATCATCCTGCTGATGCACACTGACTGCTACAAACAGATGTGAGATTTCAGGGTAGGTCCGGACTGTAATCAGCCCCCCCTATGGCCAAGATATCATGTTCTTCACCGGGGTCAGACGCACAGTCTTCCTTTTCATATTACCGCTCGGATTTGTCTGTAAGCTATTGGGTTATATGGACTGTGGAGAATTATTAGGCCTTTGTAATCCCGAATGCTTCACACGTTCACAGATTGCTTTACAAAAGCTCATCTTTAACTCAAATCATCCAAAAAATAAAAAGTCTACAAGTCTGAAGCAACAAGCCCAGATAGCACATATTCAGAAGCCGGTTTTTGGAGTGAAGGACGGTTGCAAGAGGTGATCTAGTTGCTTTTATTATCAGTGCAGGAGATCTGGCTAACAGCTAATGGGAGTTAAGTTCCTCACTTTGCTGAGTGTAACTTTATCCAGCGGTGATTCATCACTCCAGCTCGTGTCACTCACTAGATAACGCCGACAAGTCTCTGGGTCCAAAGCCGCAGACAGTTCCTCTTCCCCCTCTCTCCGGGTGTGAAATTTAGACTAAACTGTCATATCCCTAATTAAAAAATACACCTCGACCTCAACAAATCCTGTTTTTCTTCACTCCCTCTGAAGCACCTCTCTCACTGAAACTCACTGCCGGCTCTCCGTGAATCTGCACCGGTTGACTCCGCTGGCGTTTGCGTCGAGAGAAAGAAAAACTGAAATACTCCAGTTCTGGAAGCACCAGCTATTATGAGCCAATCTCGCCTTTGGACGGGATGACCCTTTGAGGCTGAAACCCATCATTATGGGTTTAGCCCACTAGGCATGTGTGTGGGGGGGGGGACCGGGGCCACCCTTATGCTGAGGTATTCTGCTGGGCCCGGGCCTCCAGCCCTGGAGCCGGGGGGGCCCTCAAGCAGGTGGAGCAGAGACGTGGTGGCCTGACTGATATTCATGAGGGCTGCTGAATGTGCCCTTTGGGCACAGGGCGCCGGAGCGTTACGTTTCTGAGAACTCAGGCGGCCGAGTCGAACTTGGGAAAGAGGTGGATGTTCTTTGCTGTTTTTCACGATCCCAGAATGGAGTTGATGCCGTATTCAGATACATATATTGTACTAATAAGTACAAAACACCACGTGTGTAAATACTCACAAAAGAGGGAGCATTTTTTTATTTCACTTTTGCAAAAGTACATATTTATTAAACCCTACTTAAAAAAAAAGTTAAAGTACACTTTACACAAAATGGATAATTAATGAGTATTATATATTGGATTATAAAAGCATCACGGTACAGCCGGGCCTTATTTGAACCATAGGGTCAAGTAACATACAATGTCACATGATAATGTATCAGTTGATTATGTTCTTAATTTGTATTCTGAGTTGGAAAAATAGTTGTCTAACTAAAGCTGTCAAATAGATGTAGCGGAGTAAGTTGCAGCTTAGCATGGAAACACATGACAGATTGAAGTACCCGATATGGATATACATTTCTCAACTGCTCAATATATATATATTTTTTTACTGAATCAGTGTTCTCAAAATTCCACATTGATTTAAAAAAAAAGTGTGTAATTGAAGGATTTGGAAACTCAAATGAGAAGAACTAAAAGTGTCCAAATGTGAGAAGAACTCCGTTCACTCGATCTGATGAGGATTTCAACAGAAAACTTTGTTAGTGTGAGAACCCGTTGCTGTGTGACAAAAATCGCCTTTGTCTGCTGCACAGATAATTTGTTCCCAGATCTTCAGATGGCAATATTTTCATTTGAGCCCAGGAGGGGATCTCTTCAATTGCCAGCGTCCATTGTTTTCCAACAAGGGGCACAAAAGTCTTGTCAATTAATTTTTCTTTTATTCCCGACCACAGAGCGCCTGAGTGAATTCAATTATCAACCAATTAAGAGGTGTTTCCTTTTATTTACAGACCTTGATGCCGTGCGTATCCATATTGTCTGAAAATTAGAACGGAGAGGGGGTGTCGAATCACTAGAACATTTCCTCTTCCGCTTGGACGTCTTAATATTTCCTCCCCAATGGGCTTTCAATGGCGTCCCCCGGGGACACGAGCACAACAAAAAGGGCATTATTGAACTCTCTAGACAAATTGTTCAGCGGATGTTCCTCCGAAAGTGGTTCTCGACAACAAAACATTTAAAAAAAAAAAAAAAAGGTCCAACAAATCCCAACAGGATTCACACAGACACACACGCACGGAACAGGCAGCGCTGTGCGTGACCAGGCTTTTGGGGACGGATGGAGACAGGTGCAATGTTCAGCAAACAGGTTGACATCAAACGGGCTCAGCGATCAAACCCGGCCGCAGACAGAAAGCTGAACTTTTGAACTTTTTGGAAGTAAGTTTAAGGTCTGATTGCTCGATGAAACAAGGTTATCGGAAGTGACAAGCGGAAAATGTCTCTGTCTCACACACTTTACTGCGCACAGACACTTGACTTCAGATGTCTTCACCGTTTTGTAGCCCTTTGTTGGAAATTCTTGAGAACTTGATTTGAATATTTGGGGGGCTTTTTTGGGGGGGGGGGCCTGGCTGAGGCTCCATGAAAAGGCCTGAACAGCATCGTCTATGTCAATGGTATGCCCAAAAGTGACCTTAACTTTTATCTCTCCTATTTTTGTTCTTCTTTTTGACTCGGATGAGTAAAACGACGCATGAAGCAGGAGTTAAAATAAATGACTTTTATTCAAACATTGACATGTGTTTTTTAAAATAAAACACAAAACAAAACTCAGTCTAAAATACATGTCACATCTTCTTATGAAAATAATTTCTGTACATAGGTGTCTTCCTCTTCTTCTTCTTCAAGACGGGCATATAAAAACACAAACATATCCATGAGTTAAAGGATAGATTTCCGTGGGTTGATTCGTGAATTTTTCTACAAATGTTTGGACAAACCGTATTGGAGAAGCGGTAGTTCCCAAAAAAGAAAGGGTTGTTGTAAAGAAGAAAAAGGAAATAACAGTTCAATTCCAGTGCTAGTTTTACTGAGGCCTACAAACCCCTAAAATGACTAATAATGAACAAAGAGTAAACGTGAAGTGAGACTACACCTCGGTCCCCTCCCGGCTGTACATCAGGTTATTCACACTAAAATGGTTGCTGAGGCTCTGCACCGACGTGTAATAGTTCATTCTGTTGTTGTCAGAGTTCAGAGGGGCGATTAAAGTGGGCGAGTAGGAGCCCGGTCCGGACAGCCCCCCCCCGAGGTACCCGGAGGAGCCGTAGTCCCGCTCCGCCGCGGCCCGGGGCCCCTCGCCGCCCGCCAGCAGCGAGTTCACGCTGGACACGAAGCTGCTGTAACACGGGCTGTCGTGCCCCGCGGAGGACGGAGACGGCGGCGACTTAGGCTCCGTGGAGGCCGGGGATCCGTGCAGGCTGGGCGGGGGGGAGCTCAGGAGGCTGCCGGTGTCGGAGAGCTTGTGCGGGCCGTCTGAGGGCTTGACGGGCGGCGCGGAGCCGTCGGACGCGGAGATGTCGGCTCTCCTCTTGCGCTTCCTCCGGAAGTTCCCGTTGTCGAACATCTTCTCGCAGTTGGGGTCCAACGTCCAGTAGTTTCCTTTGCCTGGGTGGGCAGACAGAGAGGGGGGGTTAAATACGGTTGACAACACTTTCAATTGAACCGCATCCAAAATGAACCGGGGGGGTTAATCTTTCAAATTTAACTTAGATTAGACTCACTATATTAAATTTAAAAAATGCAACAGTTGTATCAATAAAAAAGCAACATGTCACTGCCTATAAGCAGGTTCATTGCGACTCACCGGGGTCGTCCTCGTCCCGTGCCATCTTCTTAAAACAGTCGTTCAGGGACAAGTTGTGGCGGATGGAGTTCTGCCAGCCGGCTTTGCTCTTCTTGTAGAACGGGAAGTTTTCCGCCACGTACTGGTAGATCTGGCTGAGGGTCAACTTCTTGTCCTGCGCGTTCTGAATGGCCATGGCGATCAGCGCCGAGTAGGAGTAAGGCGGTCGGACCATCTTGAAGAGCTCCTGCTGGCTGGATATGGACAACCAGCCCAGATCCGCGCCGCCGAACCCGCTGGGCGGCGGCAAGAACTGCCTCTGGTTCGACCCGTATCCCGACTGGATGTAGGACGTGCCGTTGTTCCCGGGCAGGTAAGGAGAGGAGTTGATGCCCGGTCCGTTCAGCCATAGGTACGGGTTGGCGGACGGGGAGGTGTAGTCTCCGAGGCCGTAGCTGGTGGGGTGCGCCGGCGGCCTCTGCGGGTGGTGGTGGTGGGCGAGGTTCTGTTGGTACACACCGTAGTTGTCGCAGTACACGGCCATGTCCAGGAGCTCCTGCGCGCTGTGGGGCTGAATGGGGCTGGTCTGCTGGTTCGATGCTTGGTGTCCAAACGCGTTCATAATCCACCTCGAGCTGATTCCAAATACCTGAACTGGTTTCTGTGTCTTTCCCTCAGGACTGGACTCATCCTCAGAGGGAGGAGTATTTATGCGCGGCGCTACAGGTAGCCCATTGAAAACTTTTGGGATGGTCACACCCCTCTTTTCTGTCTATGTTGACCCAGATTTCCCTATCAATGAGGCACGATACTCCCTCTAACTGCCATGCTGAGCGTTATGTTATTTTACTTACCTCAGTCGGTTAGGGACTTGCAACTTGTTCCCGTGCGTAAATGCGCACCGGAGCTTGGGTTGAATTTTTGATGAAATTGCACTTTCTTGTTCTTCTGGGTTTGTATCCGTATGGTTGAAATGCACTTATTGTAAGTCAGCTAAATGACGTAATGTAATTACGTCTGTATATTTAGAATCGGCTTTGAATTAAAACGTGGATCGACGGCACTATTATTTAGTAAATATCGTAAAGTAAATATCCATAACCCTTACGGTTTCTATATGTATTTTGGATGTTTTTTTGCGTGATATAATTTCTATTATTTCATAATTTGATGAATAAGTATATCTGGCACGTTCAGATCACCGTCAATCTAAATAAATTAAATTAAAAATTAAATAAATGAATGTCTAAAATGCATTTTACCAGCATGTAGAGGAGGTCGTAAAAGGTTTGATAAAAAATATAGAGTCAACTATGATGCACGAGTTGTCGTGGAGTAAAGAACCACCTTCTCTTGAAAGAAATTTTTTGGCAAAAAAAAACGCTTCCTAAGTGCCGGAAGTTTAATGTCAACAAGTGACCCGTGGAAGAAACACCCAGCAGGTTCCCAAAGACAATGATGTGCCTCGTCGTTACCATTTTTTGACTGCACAGGACTATTTGAAAAAAATCACAATATGACAAATGACAATATTTTTTTCTTTTTTAAAATTTCAGCTTCTTATAAAGATCAGTCAAATTGGGATTTAAATTGTCCAGATCATTAACATTTAGAATTAAAAAGGGGACCTTTAACTACTGTGGAAGGTAATAGGAGAAACATAATAAAGACACCAAATCATCTGCATCCCATAAAAGTGCTTCTCTGACTTTATGATTAAAATGGAATCAACCCCCGTCCACTGTGGAGTACGTTTGTATACAGTAAGCATGGCGTCACAAAGATTTACATTTACCTACACTGATTTTACACATAACCGTCAAAGGAAAAAAACGGCTGTGACGTGTGACGTGTCGACCACTGGCAGGCAAATGGTGCGAGTTTGGAATGAGAAGATGCCAGTCGCTCTACAAACCTTCCCACTCTTCTGATCTATTAACACATAATAATAATAATAATTACTACACGTCATGAAGTTGTTACGGCATGCAATCAACTGTGTGTGATACACTATTTTGAAAACATGCTGCCTTTGCACTCAACGAGTGCATCCAGAATGTGAGCTGACCCGTCGCCCCGGTGGTCGTCCCCCCGGTGAAGAGCTGCTGTGGCCCTGCAGGTTGCAGCCGGACTGCTGCACTAATCGCCAGAACATTCCTCCTCTCCATGACCTTCGTGTAATTGTTTGGCTCCAAGGTGTTGTCCCGACCACCACAGGCTGTACAGCAGCGGCAGGCGACGGACTCCACAGGGGGAGGCTGTGGCATTTAACCCCCCATATGAAAACAGCACAACCTGTCGGGTGTCACTCCCGGTACAGCTAATTACTGCCGAGAGGACGCTTGCATCTGTAACGATGAGCCCGCTCAGTCGGACACCCGAATGAGCACATAGTGGGACCTCTGTGCTGCCAAGGTATGGGGGGTCCCTTTGACTTGTTACCGTAAGAGAAAAACAGAACTTATTTTATTTAACTAGCAATACTTACTTTATTTAATATTAGAGTTAATTAAGCAGCCACCAGTCACAGTTTGTCCATCCTGTCTTTCCTCTCAGATTAAGTCAAATGTGGCTCAACAACCTCAAGTGATAATTCAAAAAGTGCTCACTGTGTGTGTGTGTGTGTGAGAGAGGGGGGGGGGATGGGGTCTATTGTTGCTCTGTCATGTGGGTCTTCGTCCCCTGTTTCCTCAAGCTCGCTGAGGTCATGGGAGCTTTTCTCCAGGAGATCAAGTCAATCCCGGCGAGGTCGGAGAAGCAGCGCCGAGCGCCACGGGCCCCTTCAGGCTGAGAGGCACAGAGAAACCCACCGCTGCAGGTGAGGGGGCCAACCAGCCACACGTCTGCTACCTGTCCATTTGGTATATATCGTCTATTAGCACATTACACCGCTGGGATAATAGCCAAACCCAATCGACACAGACACTCCGTGTTGATAAGGTTTGTTTTCTGCGTACAACCTTTGCTGTAATCATGTGGCCGTATGTGTTTGACATCCGCTGTTGGTGTAATTAGCAGATTATTAAATGCTGTTAGGGCCAATGGCATCATGAGAGGCCCCCTCGATAAAGTCATTAATTCTGACTGCGTAAACAAAATGATCCCTGCATGCAGCCAGGTGCTGCTCACAGTCTCCCCCCAGTGGTGGAACACGGTAACAAAGAAAACACAAACGCAGTTTGAGTGCTAATGAATGCAGAGAGGCATGGGACAATAAAAACTGGTGAATACTTTGAAAGAAAGCTCACTCCTCGGCATCTCCGGCAGTGGCCTAGATGCCACAGCCGGAGATGATGCCACATCCTTAAACCTTTCCAACAGTATAAAGCGGTGAATTATCTTTGAATCTTTTATCACACTTCCGAAGTGATGTTTCTAATCATATGGGTGTAAAAGAAAAAAGGAACGTAAGGAGTCATTTATATCCATATGTTGCTACTCTGCCCAGAAATATACTTCTAAAGTATAAATAATACAAGCTAGCTTGAAATGACGATTCATGTCAGTGTTGTACATTTTAAATACAACAATTAAATATTCTAAATATTACAAAATTATTACACGTTTTCCTTCAGGGAAAAATCCTAGACAGACGATGCCTTCTACATTATATTACATGTCATTTAACTGACGCTCTTATCCGACTTACAATAAGTGCATTTCAACCATAGGGATACAAAGTCAGAAGAGCAAGAAACAAGAAAGTGCAATTTCATCAAACAAGCCAATTTACAATTTGCTATAGATAAGTGGCGTTACAAGCACAATTTAAGTGCTACAATTTGTTGGTCTTTTAGTGGAGGTAGAGTCTGAAGAGGTGTGTCTTTAGTTTGCGGCGGAAGATGTGAAGGCTCTCTGCGGTCCTGGTGTCTCTTGTCGAGTGTTTTTGCTCTCAGTGAGGGAGGAACAAGCGCTAAAACAGTGATTCATCTGCAGGCTTCAAGTTTCCGCGCCGCACTGTGACAAATTAAACCACAATTATCTTGTTATGCCACTAACATGTCGTACATCAGCACACAGACATTTCCCCCAACAGATAAAACTACAACCACCAGTCTGCACAGTGAAAAAGTAAAACACATCTTTTTGGGGGGAGTCTGGGTCAACAACAACTATCGTCAGCATACTCACATCACAGGGCATTAGTCCACCTGCCGGGACTGAGGGAGGGAACACGGTTCTTTCTTAATTAGTCCTTCTTCCATGTGCAGTCCCCTCTGACCAATTTCCGCGTGGCCCCTCACACTGCGGCTCCAGCAGTTCAGCAGGCGGACGGGGGGAGAAATACAAGCAGCTGCTGCTGCTGGAAGCCGTTTGCTTCACGCGCTCCTCTGCCGGGCAGATTTACACCTCTACTCCTGATTACATCCTCGGAGATCAGATGCTGCTGGTCTCACCGTTGTATGTACCCTACCTGCTGTCTGCTATATCCTTTAAATACAAACAGTGAAAAGGGGATTTCTGTAAGCCACAATACATCTAAATGCATCAATCCATTAAACTATTATTGCTTTTGTTCATCGGTGCAAAGAAACACTGTATATTTTGTGCTGTAGGGTAACGGTGGGGGTCAGGGTTATTTATTTGACCTTGAAATGACACCCACGCAAGCCAGAGGTCTCTGTCAAGTAATTACTCGTGTGAGCAGCGCGATGGAGGCGGGCAGCATGAGCTGGATCCTCCAGACGAGGGCAGCATTGCTTCATGCACACGTCCTCCAGAGTCCCTCAATAAACCAAGAACTTTACAACGTCCATCCATCAGCCGTGGTATACTGCCTCCTTGGAGGCAACATATTTCAAAATACAGAATCTGATCAGTGTATTGATTTTAATCACACAGAGAATATGAAATGCAGAGTTTAGAGTCGTAACTGAAAGCGATGCAATATGATCCACTGTTTCACTGGGTTCCCTGATACCAGTTCTACCCATTCTTTCATCGTGCTGCCTTGGAGATACATATCATTTTACAAAAAAATATTTGACTTTCAAGATGTATTATAATATCAGATGTAAGCAAATCTGTGTATAATCATAATTCAATCAGCATTTTACCGTTTAACAGATTGAGCTATAATGAAAATAGTCCCTGGCTTTTTAGTGGAACCTTAGACCCGAGTTTGTCAGCAATCTATGAAAAACAGCCACCTCAAAGAAATGAAATCCCTCTGAACCAGTTTAAGAATATACATATGAGATCTCAAAGACCAAATTGAAGACCAAATTGCACTGGGACAGCTCGCCTGTGGCACTTCCAAGTTATTTCCGCGTGAAGACGAGGCGAGCCGGGAACTATGCCTCCTCATCAAACCGGCTCTCCACCCCCGATCTCTAGGTATGTCTCCTAGCAACACATCGAACCGACTGCCTGGGAAAACCCCGCGCTTCATTACAGCCTCAGCTAATATAGATCTCCTCCCTCAACCCAAGACAATAAGCCCGTGTCCAGGATGCACGTCCCTTAAGCAAAACACTTTGGATTCGAAATGCCAAGAGAGTCCCCCCCGAGTTTTACAGTCCCGTGTGTCGACGGGGCCTCTCGGTGCTCGTGAGAGCCGCCTGTGACAGCCACTCCTGACGAGAGAGAGTGATGGAGTGACTGTCTGGAGCGGGAGAGGCTGGAGGCGGGACAGAAGGACGGCAATAAAGTGTTCAATCAAAGGCCGCGCTCACTGCTGGCAGTGCAGGTTGTTTGTTTTAAGCCAAGGATTAAAAACGTGAAAAAGAAGTCGCTCACATCGGTTTTCGATCAGTGATTAACTGCAGCGGGGCTGCATTCAACGTTCATTCTCACCAGAAAATAAAAAGAAAGAAATTTCTTGTAGCAAATATGAGGCTTAATCACCAACTATCCAGGTGCCCGATTATCAAATCAATCATTTCAGTTTGAGAGAGCACCGTTTCCAACGACAACCGTCTGCAACTGGGATCACAGCACGCCGATCTTGTTTTCGCCAAACAAACCCTACAGATTTTAAAGAGAATTCATTTACTATTATTTAAAAAACTGCTAAGTCGTATTCAACTAATTGAATGGCAGATATTCTGTAGCTGTAATTCCACGGTTATGATGTCCTCAATGACTCATCTGTTACTGTCAAAAATCATCGAAAACGATCCGTCGAGTCACTTTACCGAAAAACTTTTTGACATCTCCAGCGAGACACAAAGGAAGCTTGTGGTGCCGGCACGACATTCTGTGTGACAGCTACGCACAACAACGCACTGTCACGTTGACATCTACGGACTGAAGCTGCGGCTACATGTTTGTTTACAACGAGCAAACAACAGGCAGCTCCAGATTTAATGCAAATCATTTAGAATGAAAACAAGTTCATTTCAGGATTAGTTTGATGGAACGTTCTTCTTTATTAGACGGTAAATAGGATCAGTAGATCCAAGCAGAAAGAGGGCGATAGCATATGCTATCATATATATGATAGGGAGAGAAAAGTGTGCGTGCAGCGGGAAAGATTACAAATATAAATGCTCCATAAAATGTATACAAATAAGTTTAGTATTTCATATCTTTCGCTGGTGTTAACCACATGGATCAAACGTTGCTCCTTTCTGGGTCCGTCGTGCAGACGCTACCTGTAATTTGACCTATGAAATGCATTTCAAACAGGGTGGAGGCCCAGCAGCGGCTCAGATCTGCTAGCATGCGTGTCGACTCTTTATGTGCAGATGCTAAACTTATCAAAGAGGAACTTTTTGGAACACTAAACTCGTATAAGCTATATTAAGTCTTTTACCATACATAAAAAACGTGCGGCAGAACTAACTCCTGAAATGCGATGTCTTCTATGAGTGCGTATCACGTTCACGGTACTACAGCAACCGCTAATCGTGTCCATTGCTAGCAACGTTAGCAGTGGGTCTCGTTTTGGGAAAGAGCCAATGAAAATCCCATGGACAGCCGCAATTGGATATACTGTGAGCTAGAACTGTTGATTTATGGTAATGTCGTTCCAATCTCATTATACGCGAGAGACGTTTACAGAGAAGCATGCACATTTGCAGCCTCCCGGCAAATGAAAGTTTGTCACGAGGGAAGTAAAATATACACATTATTCCAGGGCTGAAGTGACAAATGAGACGGGGACAGAAAGCGCTGTAAATACATTTCTCCGTGAGAGAAGGAGCTGGCTCACAACTCTCCCCCCCTCACAAAGCGTGTGGAAAACCTCTCAATTAAGCAGTGCTTTGAGGAGAGAGAGGGAGAAGCATAATGCCTGAGCACAAATCACTGAGGGGGCCTATTGAAGTGCCAGAGTATGTAATACTACCACCGCCGAAATGCCTCACCCTGTGATATTGAGTGTGCATTGGCTGTTCTTCACAAGTGAATTAGGCCGCTGGTTAAACTTCTTTTTCCCGCCTCACCGTTTGAACAGATTGTGCCCATCATTGATGTACAATAAAGTAATAGTGGATATTAAAAAAATGATTTGACAACTCATCCTAAAACCTTTTAATGCCTGAATGAAATCAAATAAGTAAAATTGGTCTAAATGATTTACAGACATGAATACTAAAGGGATTGGTTGCATAAGCAGGAATTGAATCCTTTAGTCATTGAAGGATAAATACTCCATTTTTCTTTGCAAAACTGCTCACTGTTAAGTGAGTTAAGTTTTATTAGGTGTATTATGGAAAATGCAACAGGACCACGATTATTTTATGCAGTGTCTTCTCTCTGCTATAGAACCAGGGATCTCCTGTGGAGCTCCCAAAGGCAAATACAGGCCGGTTTACAGCTGTGATATTTATTAAGACAGACCTCACTGGGTTTTGTTGCATTACAGTAATCTCGTTACAGATTTGCTAACTTTGTAGTCACGGCGCAGCTTCTGCCAGGACACATTGACTGAGCAGCTCATGATGAAAAGACACAATAGGCGTTTTTAACAGAAGACATTCGGCATAAGTCACAATAAGATCTGTACAGCGTGAATAAAACAGTTAATGATGACTGAATTCAGTTCCATGGCCCTGGTGTTACACACAATAGAGTCTCTGTTAAAGCTCTTAAAAACTCCTTAAATTCCTTCAGAGTGGCGTCGTGGACATTCGCTCATTCAATGTGTTCAAAGTCAGTGGAGGAGGTGAATGTTTGTTTTTTAGAGGCAATGCGTGCAGACAACGTTGCTTTAATCATCAGCGTCTTAAAAGATATTAAAGTCCCGTAACTGTCTTTGTGCCGTTTAGCGGTGCATTGGACAACGTCCTGCGCTTCGAATCGTAGTCATTGTTCGGTGATCGAGTTTAGCGCCGCCTTCACGGTCATTCAATTCTCCTCACGGCGGCACCTTTTACACTCCAACAGCTGATCGTGAATCCCAACGGTTTGAATGTTCAAGTTACCACGCAGCGGGTCGAAAGAGCATTAGCACAGAGGGAAAAGGCTTTAATGATCACCCTCATGTTTTCGTTATCGGAACTGCGTAAATGTTTTTTACGGTGCTCCTGCGAGGAAAGGGTAACGGTCCTTAGAGATAGTCGGGTAGTCGAAAACAAAGGAGCGAAACCAGCAGAGCAAATAACATTGGTATGATAGTGGAACTTGCATTTTTATGGAATATTACTTACTCAATTTCTTTTTGTTTGCAGAGCAATTTATCATCCAGACAGGTGGTACATGGTCAAA